ACTGGGCAAGTTAAAATGGGACACCCTGTATAAATAGCGAAAAATTTATTTCTTGAATAACATTCATGTTGCATAACAATATGTCCCAAGTATTACAAATTTTATGTAATAATTATTATTTTCTTTTCATTATAAATACAAAAAAGATAAAAATAATTAATAACGGCTTATAAATATAAGATTTAAGACTAAAATAAATTATAAATAATTATTAACTATTTTGTTTTTTCGAAATTAATAATAACAGTTATAGTATCAGTTTTTTAAAAATATTATTTGCATTGTATTACATATACCAGGTGTGTAAATATGAAACCGGAATTTTTCAATAGATGGCGTTACTAGTCAATTAAGCCATCGACACAACTCGTCAGTGGCGTCATTTACTTGTGTTGACATTTCGCAAACCTTTTGCCGCTACAGAAGTCACCAGTTGCATACAACTGCATGGTTATAGTAGCGTCCAAGATGTCGAGTCTTGTGCCGCGAAGCTACGATTTGCGGACAGCGTTGGTTTTCTGTTTCCATTTAAAGAAAACTGCTGCGGAGTCACATCGAATGCTTGTAGAAGCTTACGGTAAGCATGCTCTTGGTAAATCACAGTGCTTTGAGTGGTCTAAAAAATTTAAAAATGGCAATTTTGATGTGAAAAATGAAGAACGTGGAAGACCACCGAAGAAATTTGAAACAACGATTTGCAAGCATTGTTGGACAAAGATGACTCTCAAACGCAACAGCAACTTGCAGATCAACTAAATGTCACACGGGAAGCGATCTCCATACGTTTGAAAGCCATGAGAAAGACTCAAAAGGTAGGAAAATGGGTCCCACATCAACTGAACGAAAGACAGCAGGAAAACCGAAGAACATCCTGCGAAATGTTGCTTGACAGGTTCAAAAGAAAGTCATTTCTCCATCGAATTGTGACTGGGGATGAAAAGTGGATATATTTCGAGAATCCTAAGCGTAAAAAATCATGGGTAACTCCAGGCGAACCATCGATATCCACTGCAAAGCCAAATCGCTTTGGACGGAAGACAATGCTCTGTGTTTGGTGGGATCAGAAGGGTGTGATCTACTTCGAGCTGCTAAAACCAGGGGAAACAGTTAATACTGCACGCTACCGACAACAAATGATCAATTTAAACCAAGCTGTACTTGAAAAACGTCCAGAATATAAATCAAGACAACACAAAGTGATTTTACTTCATGACAATGCACCATCACACACGGCGAAAGCGGTCAAGGAAACGATTGGGGCGTTTCATTGGGAAATTCTTTCGCATGCGGCTTATTCCCCAGACCTAGCTCCATCCGATTTTTACTTGTTCGCATCCATGGGACACGCACTAGCTGAGCAGCGGTTTACTTCTTACGAAGATGTACGAAAATGGCTTGATGATTGGTTTGCTTCAAAAAACGAACAATTTTTTTGGCGAGGAATCCACAAATTGACAGAGAGATGGGAAAAATGTGTAGCTAGCGAAGGAAAGTACTTCGAATAAAATATTTGTGTACCATTTTCGCACAATAAATGTTTCTTTTCTATTGAAAAATTCCGGTTTCATATTTACACACCTGGTAGCTGTGTATAAAAGAGTAATGATAATAGTTACTATTTTTTAAACGTAAAGTTAATTCGTAATAAAGAAAAATAAGAAGTAATAACAGTTAAAAATTATTAACTTCAAAAGTGGAAGTTTAATATAGTTATTATTTCATTTTTAATCATTTACAATTTGTCAATGAGAAAAGAAATTATAACAAATAATTGATTATATTAATAGTTATAAATAGTTATTCTAGTCACAATTCCTGTACTTATAAACTGTTTCCTTTTTTCAATTTTCACTTGTGGTTTAGTTTACTTTTTATTGGTACTTTACTTTGCTGTACACTTTATCTTATTTACAATTTTGTCTTATCAATGGCTCGAAGAAAATAAGTTATATCAAATCTACGCCCCTTACGATAATAAGACATCCGATACATATTTCATTATTCATAGTAGTTGAAGAAAAGTCAAGTATTTAAAAAGTTAAAGTTTTTTTATAGTTCTGGATTTATAAATAAACTTATTTCTATATTTACATACAAATTTCCCGAACACGAAAATATAGTACATAACAAGAAGAAAAATTTTTGTCTACTACGTAAGTATTTATGTCACTTATCATACATAATTTTATTCAAATATTTTGATTTGTAAACATGTGAAATATAACTGTTAAAAACTTATGATCGAATTCTATCTATAGACTAAGTTTTCTTTTGTCTTTTGTAAAATTATTCAACTGCAAAAAAAAGTATTTATATCTTGATTTTGTTTTAGATTAAAACATGAAGATCAATCCTTTGAACGTAGTTAATTTATTATTAGCATATTTTCAAAGTTTACAAATACCAGATAGCGAGATTAATTTCAAAGAAATTAAATTGTCAGAAAAGTTAAAAGAAATATTAATAGATGCCGCGTATGAGTTTAATGATATTGATATGATTGTTGAAGAGACGTTAGATTTTCATGAAGATTATAAAGATACTGATGCTAAAATAATCGAAGATGAAGTTCAACATCACTTTCCTGATCCTGATTTTGTAACAACAAATCAGTGCAAAAATGATAATGAAGAAATCACATTTGATTATAAACAAAGAGCCTAGAATTTTGGAGGAGCGGAAAAAACAAAAACTTAAAACTGGATACTGTACAACATAGATTCAAAAAAGTTTCATCTATAAGTCAACTTAAACGTTGGGCGAAAACAATTAATAAAAATGGAACTTACCGAGAAAAAATTGCGCAAATTTGCCAATACACGTTTGATAATTTAAAAGCCGCTATTGCAGCTGGTACGATAGTGCATGATCGAGATATACGAAAATGGGCATTGCAAGCTCAAAAAATTGTTGGCCATGAAGATATAAGATTTAAGGCTTCTCAAAATTGGTTACTAAAATGTAATAAAGCTCATAGAATAGTATCTAGAAAAATAAATAAATTTATCACCAAAAAAACATTAGAAAGTAAGGAAGAACTACAAACTAATGCTTATGCTTTTGTAGCTGATGTTAAATCATGTATACCAGAAATCGGCATTGCAAACTTTTATAATTCAGATCAGAGTGGTTTCCAATTAGAAATGCACTCGGGAAGAACATTAGCAGTTGAAGGAGAAAAGCAGGTGCAATGTCTGGTACAGTCGGTTTCATCGACAACGCACAGTTATACAATTCAACCAACTATATCAGCAACCGGGAAACATTTATCACCACTTTTTATAGTATTAAAAGAAAAAAGTGGTCAATTTGGTCCCATAGTAGAATCTTCATTATTTAGACCAGAAAATGTGCATGTGGAAGCATCTAAATCTGGAAAATTAACGACAAGTTAGTATATTTTTGTTTATTAAAATGCAATGACATAAAAAAATTTTTACATTTTTTTATTTTATATCATTTTAAAATTTGATTGAAAAAAGTTTTTTACCCAAATGTTGGACCTCAATCTGTGCTTTTACTCGACTCTTGGAGTGGACATTGCGATAAAGCTGTAAGGGAAACGATGCCGACAAACAAAATTGTTCATATAAAAAAAATTCCCACAGGAACGACCGGGAACATCCAACCACTCGATGTTTATGGATTTTGTATCTGGAAAAACTTCGTTCGACGTTTATCAGATCAAATAATTTTGATGGACTATGAAATGAATCTACATTTAAGACATAACATCATAAAAATGCAGTCTCTTGTCCGTAACCAGCTTTCTTCACCAAGATATACAAATATTTTTAAATACGCTTGGTATAAAAGCGGCTACATTGCTGAAAAACCAGCTAAAACAGATAACCCTGTTGATTATAGTTTTGGAGATTCTTGCAATATACATTGCGAAGTAGAAGCATGTAAAAATGTTGTTATAATACGCTGTGGTTGGTGTATAAGATCATTATGTTTCAAACACTTTTTCGATGATTATCATTTCTGAAAGGAATTCGTTGAATGATACATTTTAATTTACCAATTAATAAAAAAAAGAAAAAGATGAAAATTATTATGAAAAATCAAAATATATGTAGTATCGCGTACCATGGCTCTTACGTAAATATATTTATGTATCTACATACGAATATAAATATATATGTATAGATCTATAAATGATAATTAGAACTCGTGTTATTCTCCTGTTTATTTTTAAGAGATATTTCTCGCCATTTTGATACTATTAAAATAAAATGTATTAAACATATTTTTATATGTCATAAATTATGTTTGAACTACAGATATTTTTTATCAAAATAAAATGGGATACCCCACGTACGGTGTAGAAATCAATTATTATAAGAAAAAGCAACTGATAAACTCAATTCTCTTAAAGTTAGGTCTATTAGCCTACATTTGGTTGGGTAAGGGTGGTTTATGGGGGTTTGGTGGGTTAGTTGAGGTAGCTCGCTCAGGCGTAGGATTAAATTATTTCAGGAAATAACAAACGACTTAACTTGTTTATCCCAGAGTTAGGTGGACCTGCTGATAGTTTGATGGGGGTGGTTTCTAGGGGGTGAAACACCCCTCAAACATATTTTTTTTTAAATCCGGAAACACGTCAATTTAATTTTGGTATTTTCTCATTATCAGTGCGATTTTTAAATCACTCCAGCTGATTTACTGTATTACATGTCATAAAACAGTACAAAAAATAGTGTATCTACCCCTATTAAAAAGGGGGTTGCAACCCTTCGGTATAAATGTTATGTCCTTAAAAGCGCATTTTTATAAGAAATTTTTTAACGTTGAGTTTACTGAAAAATATTCATTTGATGCTGAGAAATATTAAAAAAACTGATTTTAGGGGTTGATTTTTAGGGTGGATTTCACCCCTTAAAAGCCCTTATGGGCCGATAAAAAAACACACGATTCTAATTTTTTTTCAAGTACTACAACATATCCCAAAATCATTTAAATCGGTGAGGTCGGGTTGGGGTGGTTCCCTTGTTAGTATGTTGCTGGGTTTTGCCGAGGACTATCGTAAAATTGTTGTCAATGTGGAACATGAACTAATTATCACACAATCAAGAACAGACACCAACGCTGTCATCGTAGAATCTACAGCAGGTGCCTTAGCAACTGATTCGGTGACCTACGCAGATTTCAAGATTACACTGACAAAAATAGAGTGATTGATGCCTTATATCGTTCTGTTAGAAAGACAAAAAATCAAACTGCTGAATTACATAGGCAAAGACCGACCAATCACCATGCGTTTCCGTTCTTGGAAGTTGTACGTATGTCCTAAATTACCGGTCACATTGAGATGCATTTGGACCGTCAAAACTTCCATTCAGCTTGAAAAACCACACTTTGTCGTGTTGGCTTTCCAAATGAAACGGAAGTATAAGAAATCTATCAACGCTAACGAATTTGATCACTGCAGTATTAGCAACGTCAAACTATTTCTCATTTCGCAGTACTATCCATACGGAAATGTTAATCTCAACATCAATCAAAATGAATGCGCCATACTCGACGATATGTTTGCAAATTTTCGAAATTCTTACTACAGTAAAGATGTAGAGACTGTACTTAACAAGAACAATTTCATAAAGAAAGTGCCGCTCGTAGTCTGTGTTTGTCGCGGCTATCCGTATAGGCTGCGGAACAGCGGTTGAATCAGTTGATGCAGAATGTATAGGCTGCGAGGCAGCGGTTGAATCAGTTAATACAATGAGTGTTGAGTATAGGCTACGACGTAGCGGTTGAATCGGTTAGTACAATGAACGTTGGCAGAAATTAAGAAAGTAAATAGCTTTAGGAATAGATGAAATAGTGAGAGAAAGATTGAGATGAAGAAGGTCGAGAAGATTTTACGAATTTTGAAATGTGTCTCTCGACCGCGCACGCGGATAACTCGCGCATACACAACTTCTTTCAATTTATTTGAAGGTATATGATTTTATGAAACTACAGGACACAAAAAAATGATATTACACTCACGTGCTAGTTGTTTAAAAATCTACTCGAGAGCAATTGATAAGTCCAGAAATGCTTGGTGCTGAAACTGAACTAAAGTAGATCCAACCTTTTCTTTTTCTTCTAATACGTGGCCTCTTGTGAGGAAAGTAGAGAGAGAGAGAGAGAGAGAGAGAGAGAGAGAGAGAGAGAGAGAGAGAGAGAGAGAGAGAGATAGGAAAAGTCAAAGATTAGATTAAGGCGTATATTGAAATGACGTGGCGCGCTGGCTTGTAATATGGACTGGCGTGGCCGTACTATAGGTAATGATTGTGCGTCTGCATACGGCTTTCATTTTTAGTCGGTTTCGACTAAACGATTTTTTTTTCACGCAATGTATTTATATTTAATATTATAACCTTGTAAGAAAAGACTCCAACGTATTAATCGAAAGTTAGTAAATTTGCAAGAAGATAAAAATGTTAACGCTTCATTATCTGATCTTACAATGATTAATCTTGATCCTCGTAAATATGTATCCAACTTAAATATGGACCAAACTATCGCTAATAATTCTTCGTCGATATTGAAATAATTTAATTCTGCACCTTTTAGGTTACGTGAAATAAATGTGATAATTTCTTCATCCCCCTCATCATTAACTTGGAACAAAGCAAAAGCAATGGTACTATAGCTTGCATCAGTAGCAAGAATATAAGGTTTGTCAGGATTTGGATGTTTAAGCATAATTGTATCAATAAATAATTTCTTTACATTATTTAAATTTAGTTATCTATTCTACAACAAGTGAATAAATTACGCAAGTATCTCATATGATCATCAAAGGTTTTAGACATACATAGTATATCGTCTACAAATGGAATTTTAAATGGTTTCGAAACTCCTATAGATAGACTTAAAGCTCTCACTAAAGCCGTAGTACTAGTACTAATACCAAAAGATACTACATTAAATTCATAAGTGTTTCCAGTGAAAACAAAAACAGTATATTTTTTACTTTCCTCAATCAAAACTTAAAATACATTTAACTCCATAGCATTGTTGGAAAATTTTTTCCATATAAACGGGGGAGTCATAATCTTTAATCAATTTGTAATTTAGTTTTCTTGCATCTACGCAAAATCTGACTGACCCGCCCTGACTTTATACTAATAACAATTGGATTAATATAATTACTTCTAGATCTTTGTATTATCTTTTGATTTATCATATCATTCAAAACTTCTCTAGCTTTATTACGATATTTCATGGATATCAGATATTGGTACGAAAAGTATCGTTTTTCATCTCTTACTTTAAATTTATAAGTATAGACTTTTATTCTTCTTAGTTTTTTCCGAAATACATCTTTATATTCAAAAATTACATATACAAAGTCCTCTCTTTGATTTTCAATCAAGCTAGAACATTATATGATTTTTTTAACAATATCCTCCCGACTAAAATCCATTGTGCTGTCTTTTGCGATGTCAATGTCTCCATGTTGAGTTAGATCAATGAGCCAAGATGTGTCTTCGCTATTTTCCAGATCAAAGTTATTTTGAATTACTGAATTACCATAAGTATTATAATCTAATAGTATTTCGTTATAGTTTAATTTTTCTTTTCCGTTATTTATTTCTTAATCTATATTTTCATCAATTATATTCAATAATAAATTCATATCTTTCATTCTATCATATCCAATAATACATCCTCTAACTAATTTCAAAGTGACAATAAACGCAAGATTTTTAGTTAGTTTTCCAAATTTTACTACCAAATATATTTGTTTATTTATTTTTGTAATTTTCTGCCCACTGGTTACTTTGATTGTACGGCCATAGATTGGTAATGTAGGTTTGTAGTTATAAAATTCTAAATTTGAATTATAAAAGTTCTCTGAGATAACAGTAACTTTACTTCCTTAATACAAACGAGCCTTTACTTTGATATTTTCAATTGAAATGGCAATCTCTGGACATTTTCGAGATAAATTATCGTTAATACCTTGTTTAAATTCTTTTTTGACTTCTACTCGAGGAACATCATAAATTATACATAGTGTATTCTTAGTTATCATTGTATTCCTCACTTCTAAATAATTATTATCCGATATTCGAGATACAACGACTTCTAGTTTTCCAATTGAATTTTATTACAGGATGAGATCTCCCTAATTTCTGGCCTAGAAGAATTACCTTGTTTGACTGATTGTATATTTATTTTGATACTATTAATCTTATTTTCGTTTTTTTCTTCTGTATTTCTTTCTTTATATGAAAGAAAATCTTTATTATCTAAGTTAGCTAATAATTTAATAAACTCGGAAACTTTGTTAATTTTTTAAGCTTGAAGAATTAATTTAACATCTTTATCAAAATGACATGATAGTTTTTCAATTAGTTCGTATTCATTTAGTCCTTTTTCAATGTCATAGGCTAAATTAATTTTCCTGATCGCATAATTGTAACGAGACATACGGATCGTTACCAATAATTTGGGGCGAGGAAGAGAGGCAATAGTGTCTGAGCAATTGAGAGAGAATTAGAGGTAAAAGAAAAGAAAATTAAAGCGGTAAATAACTCGAAAATATCAAATCTCATTCTATATTCTCAGAACAACTTAATCTACTATACAACGAAGCCCGACAGTCAGTCAGCTCGTTGCCTGGCGAGATATTGCCGCGGCAACGGCGCCGATACCGGCGCAAAGGATCATCGCAATAGTTAGCGGATGAATGCTTAACTATTGCGGTACCTGTAATGGCCGAGGGCGATCACCACGTCTGACAGAGAGAGAGAGGGAATCTAGAAGAGCACTTGACCTTTATCTACCGCGACTCCTCGATGAGCTGGAAACGTTATCCCACCTTCCTCACAGGCGCGTCGACATCTTCCCTCGGAGAGCTCTCTCCTCGGTTCTTTGCTGCTCGTGGACAGTTCCCCTCCGATGACCTCTGCCGTTCCTCCTCGCACTCGCTTGGCCAATGACGTCCTTAGCTGACTGACTTACTGCTTGCTTCTTAACTCTCAAATCCTTCTTCCTGACTTGACTGCCGCCTCTATCTCACTCGATTTTTGCCTCTACTTGACTCTCTTGCCGCTACCTGACTATAGCTCAACTCTTTTCTCTCTTAACGCTGGATGCATCCCCTCTTGATCTAATTTCGCGGCGGCACGCGACGCCAATAATCGGTCGTGCGCCGGCCGCGAACCATCGCCCAATACCGGTATTTGTCCCTTATCTCTTTCTCTCTTTTTCCGCTCTCTCTCTCCTTTACTTTTATTGACGCCCTCTCTGGCTCCACTCTCGGCTCGCTGATCATTATTAGCCGCTAAAAGAAAACTAACCGCAATAGGCGCACTCTAGAATGTGCCCAACGTCGGTTGCTAGGCCAGCTAAGAGCAGAAGAAGGGAAGGGAGTGGCGCATGACAAAACGACGTCGCCTGCTTTCGTGTCATAATTATAACGACTTAATTTTCCATTGGAAAAATGCTTTCTGAATTCAATCTTCCGCATAACGTTCCTCTTTACTTCGGCATTCCAGAATTTTTCTCTAAATGTTTTTTCGAAATCGTCAAAAGATGTTATTTGTCGTTGTACTAAATCAAACCATGCTGAATTATTACTAACCATTGATTACGAGAATAAATACACTAATTGAGCATGATTGTAATTGCTTGCTTGTAAATATCTTTCAAAATCATTTAAATATTTAATTGGGCGAAATTTATAAATTTGCTTTTAAATTTTAAATAATCATCGCATAGACTGAAAAATTACCAGTCTTAACACTTATGGAACTAATCTTATCTTATAAAATTCCTCTATTTTCTTTAAGTTCTGAACATAAGTTATTTTTAGTTTGTATAAGATATTCAAAGTTTTCATCACATCCTTTTGACAATTTTTTATTTGAAATAGCTTATTCTTCCTTAAGTAGATGAATCTCTTTGTCTTTTTCTGATATTATTGTCATTAATCTATCGACTTTTATCGCTACATTATTCACGGTTTCTGCAGTTGTTGTAAAGTCATTGTGTAATTTAATCTGAATCGCGTCTAAATCTTTTAATTCTCTCTCAACAGCTCTTCCCTATTTTTTAATTTTATTTTCAATATCTTCCTTAGCTAACTCCGGGTTTTCCATTTCTTTAAGAATACTCTCTGAATTATTTTAGAATGAAAGATGGATCGTTTTTGATTGCTCATTGCAGAAAATTGTGCTTAGTGAATCTTGAAATTTTTAACAAGTTTCAATAGCCAAGTCTTGTCACGATCGCCAATATAAGATTTTTTTATTATGTTCCCTGTCTAAGAAATGTATCCGTTACATTAGAGACGCTTATCTCTATTCTATTCTCAATTACATACCCAATTTTAAGAAAATGATATACTCGTAGCTCGAGGAGAGAGACAAGATTCTAATACCTAACAAACATATTAGAAAAATATTCGAGTAATATGATTTATTTATGTCCGACTAGTTTTCCAGTGTCATTAGAAAGACGAAACAAAGACGTTGAGATAAATCGTTTACTTCACTTAGTATCTGTATGAAGACAAGAAGGCCAGACAGTACCACCAAGTGTTGTAGAACGATTCATTTAAAAATGGTTGATCTAAACTCACTTTTTGCTCATGAGAGTAGGAGGTCTCATGAGTTGGTCATCTAGATCCGTGTTAAGAGCAGGTTAGGGAGTTTACAGGCAAGTG